CTACACCTAAAAATCTGAAAAGAAATTATTTTTCTATATTATGTGTCTATTAAGTAGTCCTTAAGTTTTCTACTAGCGTAGCATTAACCAGAATTAAATAAAATGCTCCATTTGCAAAATAAAGGCATTTTAAGATTGAACTCGTATACCTCACCGTGTAAAATTTTGAAACCATCATCACTTTCATAGTTCTTCTATTCTCCACGAGTGCCAACTTTGATTTGCCAATGCTACGGTGAAAATTTCCACCCTCATCACTCTTTTGAGGGTTTCCCTATTCACCGCCAGAGGCAGAAACAATCGCTTAGTTTCTATTGGCAAATCAAAGTTGGCACTCGTGGAGAATAGAAGAACTATGAGAGTGATGATGGTTTCAAAATGTTACACGGTGAGGTATACGAGTGCAATCTTAAAATGCTTTTATTTTGCAAATGGAGCATTTTATTTAAATCTGGTTGATGCTATGTTAGTAGAAAACTTAAGGACTATTCAATAGACAAATAATACAGAAAAATTAATTTCTTTTCAGATTTTTAGGTGTACACATAGATTTGAGCTTTTCTACCACTGTAGCAGCAACCAGATTTAAATAAAATGTTCCATTTGCAAAATAAAAGCATTTTAAGATTGCATTCGTATACTTCCCCGTGGAAAATTTTGAAACCATCATCACTGTTATAGTTCTTCTATTCTCCACGAGTGCCAACTTTGATTTGCCAATTGGATTCGCCTATTGGAAAATCAAAGTTGAGACCCCCGTGGAGAAAAGGAAAACTATGAAAGTGATGATGATTTGAAAATTTTTGTTCAAATGCTTTTATTTTGCAACTATTTTTTTTTTTTATAAAATCTATTTATTGCTACTTTGGTAGAAAATTCAAGGCCAATTCAATAGACGTATAATATAAACAATTTAATTTACTTTCAGATTTTTAGGCCGCGATGCGACTCACGCAAGAAATAATAATAAATAATAAGATTATTTTCAATTGGTTGCGTCGCGTTGCGAATCGCGTCTACCCTGACCGTATCCTTAGTTGTGTCAAGAGATGAACTAGCCTATGGCTAAAAATCTCTATAATAAAGGAAAAAAAAAAAAAAAAAAAAACCTTAGTTGTGTACATAGATTTCAACAAGTTTTAAACAAATGCTCCATTTGCAAAAGAAAGATCTTAAGCATTTCTTATTTGATTACATTGTATTATAATTTGCCCTTAAGAATATACAAGCGCATAAGATTTGAAGATTTCACCAAATACGCGTTCCACACTTTGAAGGTTTGGCGAGGCCTAAATATAAGGTCTATAGGTTTATAAAAATTTCCAAAATTTGTTTGGGAGATTATCTACACGGGAGGAGGCGGGGTCTAAAACCTCTCAAAATCTGTCTACGCAGTTTATAAGCAGCCCCAGAATTGTTAGTATAACGATCTTCCCAGGTTGTTGACTCATTATTTGTAGACCGAAACGAAAAATTGTTAGAATAGTAATATTTTTTTTCACTGTTTGTATCGGTCCTGCTACATTCTGGTGTCCTTAGTTTAAATCTGATCAAAAACAAATTAATTAGAATTTAGATAATCGTAGCAGGGTAAGACTGACAGTTATGGCACTAGTGCTCCAGTTTTTGGCCCTAGAGACTAACTCAATTTTTTTGTAAATTGTTGTGGTTTCATTTGTGTAGATATATGGCACAATCTATGCTCTAACCTTGGATCGAATTATATTTTGTAAAGAACTAATCAAAATGAAAATTAAGAAAGAGACAATTAGAGAACAACTAGGGCCAATAACTGGATCACTTACCCTACTAAACCATTTGTTTTCGTTTCGTTTATGTACGGTGTCCAACGGCCTAAGCTCCTCCATGATCCGATTTCAAGTAGTCCGCTTGTTTTCTGCAGATCAAATATATTGGAATATTTTTTTGGATAGGTTCTCGATATATTTTTTTGAGAAAAGTACTTCGTATCCCTAGGTAAATTATTGTTTGATTTTTGGTCAAGACCTGCTAAGCGTCCATCCAACGGACATTAGTGAAAATTTGCTCCCGCAGGCAGACATCACTGCATTTGATTGCCTTTCGCTCCCTAAAAGTGTGTGATGTTGTTGCATTCAGCCCCATGCTGGACGAGCACTAAGATCGATACCCGAGCGAAACTGGAGATCAAATTGAAATCAAAATTTGCTGTAATGATGTAAACCTTTTATGATTACTCCTAGTTGATCTCGTTTTGTATCGATTAACGGTTAACACAGCATAAATGAGAGCATAGTTTTGCATTCATAATAGTTAATTTAATACGGATCTGGCGATCTGGTTAGAATCCACGCTGAAAGACTTGAGTTCAAATTTCACCTAAAATGTGTTAGACAAAACAAACAAACAATAATCGTTAATTCGATAATAAGACGTTGACAGCTGAAGTAAATAAAAAAAAACTGCATAATGAAAGCTAAGGCCTGTACTCGAAAAAAATGCACGAGACAAAAGTGTTCGCCAAAAAATTATGTTAAGTCGGATTTTCTTGAAACTTTCAAGGAATGGAACTAATACATATGGATCATATGGATTATGATACATACATATGGATCATATGGATTATGTTTCGGCATAATTACTTTATTCAATTTCCTTTCCATCGCTGAAAGCCCGCACCTTTCCCTTAAGACCCCTCATTGCATTTTGTGCAATGGTGGAGCCGACCTTTTTGGTCACTTTCATCCATTCTTTCTTCAACTCCAGCTCGTTCTTAAACACCTTGGACGATTTTCGAACTTTGGCCTTCATTATGGCCCAAAATCTTTCCACCGGACGAATCTCTGGTGAATTTGGGGGGTTTGTGGTTTTTGGTACAAAAACAACGTTATTATCTCTGTACCAATCCAACGTCGATCGCGCGTAATGGCATGATGCCAGGTCCGGCCAAAATAATGTCTCACCTCCGTGGGACCGCAGGAAGGGCAACAGACGCTTCTGGAGGCACTCGGTGCGGTAAATTTCGCTGTTGATGGTACCCATTGTGATGCACGGTTTACTCAGTTTACCGCATTGGCATATGGCCTGCCAGAGCAAGTATTTTTTGGCGAATTTGTCCACTTTCTTCTTCCTTATGTCTTCCGGAACATCAAACCGTGAACTCCAGCCCCGGTATCGGTATCTGCTTTGCGTCTGCCTTGATGTAGGTTTCGTCATACATAACCACACACATCGGTTTCGTTAACCACTCTCAATACAGCTTCCTTGCGTGGGATTTGGCCGCCGTGTTTTGTTGATCACGCTGGTTCGGTGCCTTCCGGACCTTGAATACACGAAGCCCAGCTCGTTTCATGGTTTGCTGAACGAACCAGGCGGAACACTTTGCCTTCAAAGCCGCGTCGCGAATCGAAAGGTTCGGATTACGCTTGAAATAATCCAACACCTTCCGGGTCTTCAGAGGGTCAGCTGTCTTCGATTTCTTCCACTTCCAGCCCGCCGCTCGGTCGTCTGGAACTCCTTAAACGATTTTACCACCCGAGACACAGTTGTATGGGTGATTCCCAGTTGTCTTCCGATCCATCTCATGGTCGCAGTCGGATTTTCCATGACGGCGCGCAAAATTCTCCGGCGATTTTCTTCTTGTTTCGATGACATCTCAATAACCACTGAACTGATTGTTATGAAATGTTGCACAAGTAAACAATTCACTCCAAGCTAGTTATACCCAGATTTTCATCAATTTTACCCACGTATAAAAAAGTTACACACGGATAAAAATGGTGCATTTTTTTTGAGTACAAGCCTTAACTATGATTTCAGAATTATTTTGCGACTATTTAAATCAAACTGAGTTTACATTATGATACGAACAGCAAAGTTTAATGTCGATTTGCTTTCATTTTGTTAACCAACTTTGCTCGGGATGCGGTTGTGCACCTTGGTATAAGTTGTCGAGAATGATCACTGCTTGTTCATATATTCAAAGAAGGAACACAGCAGCTGTTAACTCAGCTGTGGCCGCGTGATTTTACATAATCCCTCCAAAAATGGGCACTTGGCGGCGGCAAATGGCAGAACCGGATGCTGTCACATGGTACCAAATCCGAATCACTTTGGCAGTGAGCATGGCCGGTGTACTGTACTGGTTTGTTTGGAAGATAACGAGGAGCTAACAGCGACTATGACGTTTTCCATGAATCTGCCACTTTTGTGCGAATCCGCTGCAGGCCCGGATTTTAATTGAGAGCGGAGACGGCAACAAAAATTGCATGAGTCAACGGCACACATAATGGAGCGATTACTTACTATACCGTCGTTGTCGTTGTCGTCGTCGTCGTCGCACCCATCGTGTTATCTCACCACGACAGCAAAGCAAGTGCACATCGATTATCTACCGTGCTGTTATGTTATTTGCGCCAGTCGCCGATGACATTGCGAATCAGTTTTAGTAATGTGGTGTGGTAGAGAGTTTGTTATCACATACCACCGCCAGTTAGAGGACCGAATCGACTGAGGAATGCGATTTGTTTATGTTTGTTATCATTTTTTACGACCAGCTTAAGACACGTCATTTGCTATAATGATGGTTCCCTTGTCTCTCCCCCGCATATCTCCGGATCATTATCACGCACACACACACACACATTGGTCCCAAAATTGCACTTCATGCTTGACGCTTCTATTTCCGCATTTATCGAGAAGAATGTACCAACGCAATAATTTTAATGGCTATTTCTCCCTTTTTCTCTTTTTTCTTTTCTCTTCCGTTCACGTGATCTCAAAACTCGAAACAAACCTCAAACAAACTGCCTCAAAATCAAACAATCAAAAAACGGAAACCGAAACGCTCCTGAATCCCGATGATCAACCCAATGAATTCCCAATGTCCCAATGTTGCGCGCTGATCCTGTCCGTCCCCATGTGTGTATGTGTGCTTTGACTTTGACTGTGTACGGACACACGGAACACGTGAAATCCGATCCATCCGGCAAACTATTCCGTGCCGATTCAACACAAGCAAGAAGCCGCACGAGTGTTACGAATTTCTCGACCTGAGCGACGTTGATGATTGTGTGAAGAGCGCGCTGGCTTCGACCCTGTACACACCGGCTACGGCTGGTGCCGGTGTCGCGGGAGGCTACAAAGGCACTGGTGGCCGCAAGCAGCACCGCACCAGACGCAGGCAGTCGAACGCATCTTCCGTGATGTCATCGTCCGACGGATCCGGGGTGTACGAATATATCCCATACGAGCCCCGGAGGTATCCTCCCTCCCATCACCATCACCACCATTCCCAAACGGTAGCCAGTTTCCCGAACCCCGTGGCACCGGAATATCATCACCACCCTCGGCAACAGTCCAACAATTCCCAACAGTTCCCGTACAATAGCACGGCTGTCCCGAGCGTCGATGGCACCGGTGGTTTCGGCCGTTATCCGGCGAGTTCGAAACGGACGGGAAGTGCCCGTAGTCAAGACCATCAAGTCGTTTCGGGTAGAAACCCACATCATTACAACTACCATCACAATTACCACCATCACTACAATTACCACAACCACCACCACCAACTACTACAACAACAACAACAGCAGCAGCAGCAACTACAGCCCTCTTGGTCACCGGTAGTGGTGGCTTCTAGTCCTACTACTGCTGCTACTACTACTGCTACTAGTTGCACTACTACTACTACTACTTCCTCCTATACACTGCCAAACAGTTCTGGTAAGCGGTTGTTTTCCTGCTTAGCAGAGATTTCCGTTTCCGTTTTTTGGACCTTTCTGCTCTCACATTACTGACTAGTTTGTTTTGGTTGCTGTTGTTTTTCAAGTAATGTTGCGTTACTACTACTGTTACTACTTTGCTTACATGTTTTGTTTTCGTTGTTTTTAGACTTAGTCGTTCTAATAACTTTTGTTTGTCCTTTCTCTCACGTTTCCTGTTCAAAACTTATTGCTTATACCTACTTACTTCAGCACACAGTAAATTGTGACTGTAGGAATTAGTTCTTTTAACCATGTGTACACTGTGCGGTAGTTTCGCTAAGAAATTTCCAGCAGCCTAGTGAGAACTTCTTAGTTGCTATGTGTTCGTTTAGTTGGTTCTTGTGTTTTGTTATTGTTGGTTTTGTTGAATGCATTTGACAGATTTTGTTCCAGACGTTTGTATTCAATAAGATATATGCTTATACAAAAGGGACGCGTGTGATATTTCTACGATACATCGAACAGATACATTTTGCAGACTTTTCATGAGGAATTTAAGAACAAGGTTGTTGGAATCCAAACAAAGGGCGTTGTCATGGCTGATTTGATTGGTAAAGTCAGTTATGATAGCGGCCATTTGTGGATTATATCAACCTTGCCCTTAAATTAGGAGGCAGTAAACGGCAATTGTCTCACATTGAAAAAAGTTTTCACATAGTTTCTATTAGGAACGCACATAATATTTATCCAATATTAAAATTTAATGTTTATCTGAATATCACATAACATAATAAATTCTATGTGTGTAATCGTATATATTCACATTTTACCTATTCAACAACTTTGAAAACATAATTTAGAGCCATATCTGTATTCAAATCGGTCCCAAAAAGAGCCTTCTAGCACCGACGAACTGACAGCTCATAGAAGCTACATTCAAATTCTTGCCCAAGACGCCATATTTAAAATACGTTAAACACTACCGCCATCTACTCACAGGACTGCAACGCTTGTCATCTGCGAACAAATGCTAATATGACAGCTCCTCCTTTTCCTCTATGATTAAGCTTGGTACATGTCGCGCCGCGTTGCGGGAAATAGATAGAGTTTTCTAGATAACGTTACAGGAAAGCACGATTCCCGCAAATTGTGCTCGTCAATTCGAAAACAACTAAATCATTTTTAACTGTCCATTGCGGGAAAGTAGGAATGATTTCGAAGGCATTGCATTTGTTGCCACCTTGTCGCATTTAATGTTACATGGTTGGAGCTTAAATATGTTATGGATCACCAGCGCTGCTGATATTTTCGGCAGTTTCAAGAACTGGATCGTATTGCAGGGGGTTGCATCTACTCATGCGATCGCGTTATATCGTCGGTGCTTCTGGTTTCTATATGAATCGATTTAAAGCAGTATCTTTGCATTTATTTACGTTTTGAGACCAATTGAGCATGTAGATTAAGGTTAGGGCTACGCCACTGTGGTTATGTGATTTATGTTATGAATGTAGAAGTGGTCAAAAATTGCAGAAAACTCCATGAGAAGCTTTAAGAAACATGCATGGGCAACTTTCTGAGTGGGTAGAAAGATTTTCTTTACTTATACAATTATTATTAGCTGGTTGGGACCAAACCTCATCATGTCTTCCGAATGCCATTTAATAGTTTGGAATGGTTTTGCATTTATTCAGCTCAAGTTTCCCATGCAAAACTGTTCATCATGTATCAAAGCTGGTTTGATTCGATTTTCAAGTGCGAGAACCTCAACCTGAGCGAATTTTCAAGGTAGTTAAATAATAGTCATCTAAACGATTTGCGGATGTCAGCTGTTGTATCTAAACGGACGGTCAAATCGTATGGATATACTCGTTTGGATAAAACAATTGGTACATATCCGCACACCTACATTTCAGGGCTGGTAGCGAGTAGCTTTTTGGTGACTTGGTCACTTTTTTCAAGCCAGTCACTAAAAAGTTTCTTTTTTAAGGCCAAGTCACTAAAGTCACTTTTTCTTGTAATTAGTCACTATTTTCAACTTTTTTAGCGTGAATTTATTTTAAATTTTATCATTCTTTGCTTTGCGACGTTCAATCGTCTTTCTCTATCTGCTAAATAAAATTACCTGAGTTTTCCAGAACTAATAAGAAGGCTATTTTTTAAATGCGTTAAAAATATGTTTTTTTTTGTAGATCAAAACAGTAGCAATTTACCGAAACGTTTTTAAGAAATAGCAATCAGTTTTAAAGAAACAGCTTTTCAATCAAATCCATTGAATGTTAAAGTTTAACACTTACTTAATTTCTCACTTTATAATGTTAAAAAAAAAACTTAATTTGAGTAAGTAAGATCTAAATTATTCAAAATCTTTCGCATTTCATGTACAAGGGGCTGTCCATAAAATACGTAGACAGTTTAGGGGGGGGGGGGGGGTTGGCAATTATCCACGGCCCATTAAATTTTTTGTATGGACAATTGTCTACGCAGGGGGGTGGGGGGGAGGTCATGGATTAAAAAAAAACTGTCTACATAGTTAATGAACAGAAACTCAGAGAATCCCCGGAAACTTCAGCAAAGCTCAGAGAGAATTTCTGGAGCGTGATAAAAATTACATGAACATCCGGGAAACTTGAGAGTATTTTAAGGGTGTTATATCTTGGAGATTTCACGAACTTAAAAAATGCGTAAATTTAGCTTAGTTGATTAGCGAACATCAACGAAGTTCCATTAATTAAAAAAATGCGAGAACTTTTAGCAAGCTTCAAAGAAATACAGAGAACTTCTCATACATTTAGATATTTTTAGATGGTTTCATGATATTCAGTGAAGTTCCGAGTACTTCGAGGACGATCAGATAGCTTCAGAATAATCCCATTAACTTAAGCAAATTTGAAGGATTATCATACAAATTTAGAGAACTACAGGTAAGCATAGATAAGTTCAGGGTAAATTAGTGAGTGTTTATAATTATTATAATGCTTAAGGAAAAGTGTCGAAACATCAAGGCAAATCATTTAATTTCAGTAAAGTTGCGGGTTCTTAAAAAATACTGATAAATCCAGGGCAGTCTAGAGAACTTTGAGGAGATTCAATAATCGTTTAGGCACTTTTAATACCACCAGGAAAGTCTAGACTATTGAAAAAGTTTAAAATTAGTGCCTATAATTTACGGGAAGTTTCATGAACCTCAGAAAAATCTTGAGAACTTCAGAGATAATCATAGATCTATATTAATTATGTCGCTCTAATTCCATGAAAATTGCGGGAGCACAAAAGTTCCAGAAGTTAAGAAAAACTTTGAAATCTTCACAGAAGGACAGTGATTTTCAGAAACATTTCGAGAACTTCATAGAAATCTATAAAGCTTAAGAGGAGATCCTCGAACTTCAGCATAATGCGGGAGCATTTGAAAGAAGTTTAGTAAGCTTCGAAAATTGGAAAAATTTCAGGGGGAGGTCAGTTCCATTAGTTTCAGAAAAATTAGTGAAAATTTAAGGTAGTTTCAAAATTTTCAGATAACTTCAGATCCGTTAAAATTTAATTAAGGTCTTCCCATGAGTTTAGAAAATCAGTGAAGCTTAAACATTTTTAGGATGGTTCAATTAAATTCAGCGCAGTACAACAAGCTTCATGAAAACTGTAAAAACCTTGAAGAAGTTTTGAGAATTTCAGAAAAGAACAGAGAACTTCAGAGCAGTTCCGTTAACATTAGAGAAGTCACATAAATTTTAAAGAAGTTTAGATAACTTCAGCGAATTTTTAAATCTTTAGAAGAGATCTATGATCGTTAAAAAATGGAGGAAGTCAAGTTCAGAGAAATTTAAAAATTTAATGAGAAGTATTATGAGCAGCAGGCTAGTTTGTCAAACTAAAAAGAACTGCAAAGCAGTTTCATTAACTTCAGGACAAATTTGGGAACTTTCAAGTAGTTCTGAAGACCTCAGAATAGTCCATTCTGAATTCCATTGAAATATACCTCTACATTCCGATGAAGCTTCGAATTCAATTTTCTTTTCGTTTTCCCCGGAAATATCTTGAAATTCACCACAATAAGAAACCCTTTGGAAAGATTCTCCGAATATTCATTGCATTCATTTCAGATTTCTTTTTGAATCTCACTTCTTCCATTGGAATTCTACTCACATTGAAAGTCTCCTAAGAATTCATTGGCATTTCTCCTCACAAATTCTTTAGATTTCTTCTCATAATTTGTTTGGCAAACTCTCCTGAATTTATTTTCCGAATTCATTTGAAGATGTTATGGAGTTATTCTCAGATTTAATTGTAATCCTCATTTTAGTATTTTCAAAAAGATTCCCGGATTAGTTTTCTCCCACATTCTTTTAGAAGTTAACCTTAGAAGACCATTGGAATTTTTCTCTGAAGGAGTTGCTCCTCAGAAATTACTAAGCGTTTTCATTAAAATTAGCTTTCAATTCAATTCAGGTTTTCTTGAAATTCTACTCAAAACTATCAGGCTTCACAAGAAATGTTAAATCCCTCATAACTACCTTTAAAGCAGATTGAATTTGATGTTTTTTTCTGGAAGATTTTTTTCCCAGAACATCCTCGAAATGAGGTCCTAAGAAATTTTAATAAAATTCCACGAGCTTTTAAAACTGTGCAAGGATTTTGACTCCAGATTCTTGAAAATTTCTTGAAGTATTATCGCTTTTAAGTTCAGAACTAGTTCAAATTTAAAATTTCTAGAAAATATGCATGTTCAAAAAGTAAAAAAAAAAAAAAAAACATTTCAAGTCTAGTTTTTTTTTTATTTATTTATTTATTTGCTACTGAAGATTAATCCACTCTATCTATAATGTTCAAAGTGTGATTGGAAATAACGAAAAAAATTAAATGCTTAATTATTTTTTTTAAAATATCATTAGTAATAAAATTATTAAATTCTCTGAGCCAATAAATAAATAAAGTTTCCTGAGGATTTCCGGTTTTCCAGGTTTTTACAGTTATTAGACACCCTGGGTTTGGTCATTCTATTGCATCTTTCGGTTTAAAGGTTAA